TAAAAAAAAATTAAACGTGGCAACAAATGGGGCGGGGCGGGGCGGGGCGGGGGTGCCCCGTGGTTCGCTCCACTGCCCCAAGTTGAATACTTGAGTTTGGATTTTGGGAAGTACCAAGAGTCTTTGAAACGTGGAAGATACTCAAGTTGTTATGTATTTTATTTTAGAAAAAAAATAAATATTTATTTATTTAAATTTTTAATCAAAACGCGACGTGTGGAGGAATATGTTGATTGGATTTTCAGACAAGTGTCTTTTCAGATAGAGACAAGCATGCATGTCTCCTCATAACACAAATAGATTTCGAAAGTCACGTCCTTTTCGTGTTGGACATAATTTTGCAACGTCTACAAATGGATCCTTGCATTTTCACATACTTCATATCAAGTTATCCTTGCACTTTCAAACTTTTGCCTTTTAGTCCAAATATATTCTGAGAGAAAGAGAGAGAGAAAGAGTTTAAAACATTACTAGTGTGTTATTCTCGTGATTTATAGCGTTGATATGTTGAGAATTTGTATCTCGAGAGGTGCGTCGACAAACAAAGCACTAGTGCGATGCAATTTCACCTAAAGAAGGAAGAGTTTTAACTTCTGCCTCGGTCAAGATTATTTTTTACATTTGTATTTTTAGAGGTCGTTATTCTAACCATTTTTTTGCAAGTGAAAAATTTTAAACAAGAATATTTTATATAGTAATTTGCCCCCAAGTAATGTTATTCGTAGTCGTTCATTACGACAGTCATTTACATGGCATACACGTGACAGGTAATTATTTGATGCATTAATGTGGTAGTTTTTATTGATTCATACATCAAATAATCACATACACTGTGTACAATAAATAGAGCAACTGTTATAGTGAGCGATTGTAAATAACATTATTCTTTGCCCCCATTGTATTGGTGAACGAAAATAGCTTAAATTACTCTCGAATTCGAAGATGTGACATAAATAATGACTCTCTCCGTCAAGATGTCAGCACGTTAGGCAATAGGCCTTATTATTTCTACATGTTCCCATTCCCTTGAAATGTTACTTCTCAGAGAATATGGATATGAATCGCCTGGTGGGTAACCAGCTACTAGAGATGGTGGGTGGGCATTTTACTTCCCAACTAATACTAATATTATCAACTAATCAAAATGTTTGATTATTAGACCCAGGAACGAATTCATTGCCGTATGGCTGATTGGCGTCTCTTTCCTTCAGCTTTTCTCAAATTAGCTTCGGCTATTTCAAATGTTTTCTGAGCTTCTTGTGGATCTTCCGACAGTGTGATGAAAAATGGATGCGAGCAAGAGACTTTCATTTTTTTTAAAATGGAAAATAGGATTGTGATTATACATTATTGAAAACTTGATTTTATTTATAATACTTAACTATCGAAAAATAGAAAGAACGATATCAATACACACTCTAATAATCAAGTCACTATATATTAGACTAGGGATGGTACTAAAAATGGAGAATATTGACGAGTTGAATCTTTTAGCTTACATTCGAACTTCACTCTTTAATGGAGCTAGTCTGGTGCATCTTGAAGAAAGATGGTGATAACTTGGCGCACTTTTGGCAACAAAATTAGACTTACTCTTAAATTATAAGTTCTCTAATTTTACCCTACCCTTCTCTGTTTTTGTTATTTTGTTTGATTACACAATTTTTATTGAGTTTTTCCATCAGTATAGAATTTATTTCACATAAAGTACACCTAAATCTCACATGAATATGGGTCCCATATGAATAAAAAAGCGCCAAAAAATTCACCTCACCACACCCCCACCCTGCCGCCTACCGTGAATGATCTGTATGGATTATGGGAAATCAGAATCTGTACACCCAACATCTCTCATTTTTATTTGCACAAACAGCAATTTTCATAGCAATATCTGACATCCAACCGTCATGAACTGGAACCCAGTTCACTTTTGGGTTTGGCCGTTTGGCAGTTGTGTTTACTGGGCTGGGTTTAGTATTTTTCAAGCAGGCCGGCATTTGTGTCAACAATTTTTTGAAAAATTGGTAATATACCCTACTTTGTGACTAGATCCTACAAAATATCGGTGTTCTAAAAAATGTAAAGTTAGATGAAGTATGGAGGCCAAGCTTCGGCATAGGCGTT